GATCATCAACATCGGCAGATGCACATCCTGACAAGAGGAAGCTTTTCTCAGTGCAAGACTTCTTCAGATATGCAGAAATTGAAGGTAACATCATTTTTCATTTTCGAACAGAGAGGTGTCCTCATTTCAGTATGTAGGCTCATGGTCTGCAATTGCCAATCATGCATCGATTTTACCATATGGCACCAGTCGGGGGAATCACCAAATTAGATCAGTGACCGTCAGTCCTCTGTAGAAGGCTGAAATGCCAGTTTTTATGTCGAAGTTCTTATATTGTGCACAATTTAATCACTAGACTTATTCAGATATGCAGATTCTAAAATCTGTACTGATGTTATCCATTATTGTACCACTGTATCTAGAAAATTTAGGTGACTACTATCAAAGATATTCCTATCAGACATTTTAATTGATCCATCTGTTATTTTTCCTGTTAGTACACTTTTGGTCAAGCTACGGTCTATATCCATCATAGGATTTTCAAACTATGGCTCTAATCGGTGCCTCAGCAATTCAGCATTCTGCATAACATAGTGATACTTATGAAAAGGTTGCTCTTTTTATGTATTAGCTGGATCATAAGGTGATATTTGTAGCTGATGTTCTGCTGCTGCAGGAAAGCGATTCTTTGAAGGGTTAGACAGAGATGGTGATGGCCAAGTCACTCTAGAAGATCTCGAAATTGCAATGAGGAAGAGGCGGTTACCAAGGAGGTATGCTAGAGAATTGTTCCGCCATACAAGAAGCAACTTCTTTTCGAAATCAATTGGGTGGAAGCAATTTTTATCCTTGATGGAACAGAAGGAGGCAACCATTCTCCGAGCATATACCACGTTGTGTTTGAGCAAGTCTGGAACACTTCACAAGAATCAAATTTTGACTTCCTTGAAAGGTGCTGGACTTCCGGCCAATGAAGATAATGCCATTGCCATGCTACGGTATCTAAATTCTGATTCAGAAGCATCAATCTCATATGGCCATTTCCGGAACTTCATGCTTCTACTTCCTTCAGAACGCCTTGAGGATGATCCTCGGTATGCCTGATGTATCCTGTTAGAAGAAACTTGTGCTTGAATTGGCTTTAGTGAATTGTGACTCTGCAACTATCACCAATTCTGACTATCTTTCAACATTATATGGTGCTCTCTTTTCCATCTTACCTTTTCTTCACTTACAAATGCATTCAGGAACATCTGGTTTGAAGCTGCTACTGTTGTTGCTGTTCCCCCACCTATAGAAATATCCACAGGAAGTGTTTTGAAGTCTGCTTTAGCTGGAGGTCTTGCAAGTGCGCTCTCTACCTCTCTGCTGCATCCTATTGATTCAATGAAGGTACAGTACCATGCTTGTTTATACCGTTTTAGTTCAAACAAGTGATTCAATAAAGCACATTTTAATTAGGAGCTCTCTGTGTATAGATATTCCTTTATTATGACTATGATTGCCCATTACAAATCAATAAGCATGTGGTTTGCCAAGGCATTATCTGTAACCTCATGGATTAGTTTAAGATAACAGTTCAGTCTACGGACCAAAATACCCAAATTCAATTCTTTATCTTTTTTGCTGTATCAGACACGTGTCCAAGCATCTACACTCTCATTTCCAGAGCTCATTTCAAAGCTTCCACAAATTGGGCTTCAGGGATTGTATCGAGGTTCTATCCCAGCAATTCTCGGCCAGTTTTCAAGGTCTGTGCTATTTAATTGGTTTATATGCAAAATTCTTTGTAGGCTACAAAACTCAAATCCTGTCATTTGCAGCCATGGTTTGAGGACAGGAATCTTTGAAGCAAGCAAGCTTGTATTAATTAATGTCGCTCCGACACTTCCAGAGATTCAGGTACGATTTACTACTCCAGTACTTGTGCAAACTCTATATTCTCTATAATAAAGGGACCTGGAGCACCTTATAAATCTCATGATAGAACAGAACTTAGTATTTGTAACAGAAACTTTCTGGTCTCCGCAATAATTGTTGTTCTTTGTGGAATTGCTTGATGATTGGCTTTTTGTTCCATAGGTGCAATCAATGGCTTCCTTCTGCAGCACAGTCCTAGGGACTGCAGTCCGTATACCTTGTGAGGTTCTTAAGCAGCGTTTGCAAGCTGGAATCTTCAACAATGTAGGGGAGGCAATTGTTGGCACCATGCGACAAGATGGCCCAAAGGGATTTTTTCGTGGCACTGGGGCCACACTCTGTCGCGAGGTTCCGTTCTATGTTGCTGGAATGTGCCTCTATGCAGAGGCTAAGAAGGTATCCTCAGTTTTTTATTGATTCTATGTTTTCACCAGACCTTCAAGTGGCATTCTCAAATCCCTATGTTGTTAACAAGTCAGATACTACCTTTGGCTGATTTTGAGCTTACTATCAGTTCTACAGTTTGGAAAACCCCCAAAAAAATTACCATTCCTCTGACTCTAGAAAGGCAGCCTAATGGAAGTTTGTTACTTGCATATGTAAAAAATTACCAGTTTGGCTTGATTTATTTCTTTGTTACACATGAAAGTTGGTACCAAATGGAGCTGCGTTAGGGGTAGAAATTTTCACTCATTTAGTCAGTTACCACTTACTAGTGCCACTAGTGGTTTTGATTGTCATAATTTGTAAATAATAGCTGTATCTGTCATGTCAGTACCACTATGCCTTGCTTATTGACATATTTAATGATGTCCGCATTGGTTTTGCAGGCAGCACAGCATGTTTTGAAGAGAGACTTGGAAGCATGGGAAACAGTGGCAGTGGGAGCATTGTCTGGAGGACTTGCGGCAATAGTGACCACTCCATTTGACGTGATGAAGACGCGGATGATGACTGCCCCTCCAGGCACACCAGTGTCTATGCAGATGATAGTCTTCTCCATCCTTAGAAATGAGGGTCCACTTGGGCTTTTTAAGGGCGCGATCCCCCGCTTCTTCTGGATTGCCCCTCTTGGTGCAATGAACTTTGCAGGCTACGAGCTTGCCAAGAAGGCGATGATCGAAGATGAGAGCAAGTCCAGAGAATCAATAGAGGAGAAGAAAACCATGGTGGGTTCCAGAGGATAACCTACCTTTCACCTGGTTAACATGTATGGTGCAAAGAAACTGAAACCAGACAACAGGAAATTTAGTGCAGAGAAGCAACAGAACACCTGCCATCTTCCTTGTGAATCCAATTTTTTGGTTGTCATACATGTATGGTGCAAAGAAACTGAAACCACACAACAGGAAATGTTCCGTCCATATTGCAGAGAAGCAACAGAACATCTGCCACCTTGTGAATCCAATTTTTAGGTTGTCATATTTCCCCCTCCGAGGGAAATTTGCCGAATTTCCATCCCGTAGGCCTTGAGATGGCTGTATAGTACAGTAGACGAGAAAAGGACTAGAGGATAGAGGCACTGCTGGAGCTGCTGTTCTTTTGCTGGACAGGACAGCTCGCTTCTTGTTTGTTGTTTAAGGATGATCCATAGCCTTCCTTGTTAAACCTGATGTAAATTTGCTGCTGTACTTGCCCTGGTTACCAATTGGCTTTGACCTGATTGTTTTTGGTGGTTGAAACAGACTAATAAAGTGATAAGGAGAACAATTTTTTTTAAATGTAATGTTGAAGACAGTCCTTGCACTGTTATCTGTTGGAGAAAATGAATAACAAGGGGAATAAATAAGTAGGAATTGGAGTGAATTTCTAATTGTAGCCTTCCATGACCATAATATTCTATCTTCTGAACTTTGCTAATAAAAAAAATATACTAGCACTAGTGTACTGTAGTGAAACCTCTTTTGATCATACTAACCTTTTTTTTTTTTTGCAAATTAAATTGACCCGACTTGTAGGACGCAAGGCAACGGGGAAAGGCAAGGCCATTTTAAAAGCCGCTGGCTGGTTTTGTTTGAATGAAAAAGCCAAAATTGATTCCAGGTGGACTTCGGTCGAAGGCGCAGCCCAACAAGATTGACCTTGAACTTGTGGACGGAGGTGAGGCGTCCAAGCAACCTTTCTTGTTTGCCAATTGCCATCAGCTCTCTCTCGGAAAACTAGCTCTGGCCTCTGGCCGCCTCCCAAATTCCATTTCCAATTCTAGTTAGATGGAGGCGAGAAGGCGATCCAGCTCCACTGCATCCTTTCCTCCCTGCGTCTCCGTCGACTCGGATTTGGATTGGGTTCCCCTGCAGCTGCAGCTGCAGCTAGGCTACGCTTTTCGCTCCGGGGCCCTGGGCCCTGGCGTGCTCAGCTCCGTCCATCCCAAATCCCTTCCATCAAGCTAGGTGAGTAAATAATTCCTACCCTTGAGAGGTCTTGAGGAATGGCCCCTCCTGACTTATCGTATATAAGCTTGCTTCTTCTTCTCCTATAAATCCCTTATCCCTTAAGCTTGCTTCTTCTTCCATCCCAAATCCCTTAAGCTTGCTTCTTCTTCTCCTATAAATAAAATCTATTTATTTATGTAGGAGTATAGTTCGTAACTACTAGATATTACCAAGAAAATTAGCATATTAGTTCTTGTCCTAGCGTAAAACTGAACTGCTGAATGGAATCCGTGTGCTTAATTCAGTTATTATATATACTGCATATATATGTTCATCAATCAAGCAACTCCTCCCTCTGAGCAGAATTGGCCTTGTCTTTTCTTCTTGTGCAAAATTTTCTCATCCACCACGAATTGAAAAGGAAGGTGTTTTTTAATGTCTACCATCATTCAACTATTGGTTTTTAATAATTGCGTTAATCCTTAATCATGTGGTAACTGGCTAACTGCACACACCACAAAAACAGAGAATTACAAAGTGAATGTTTTGTAACATCACGATGCACCGTTGGCCATTTCGTTTCACGAAACTCGATTCAGATCAAGTTCTACAAATTGACAAGTTACCTAGTACTAGTGCTTTCCTGTACTCTGCTGTACTGGCACTGATTATTCATTATTTGGCATTTTACTTTTAGATTGAGGGAGGCTAGGAGCAGCTGCTGCTTCCATTCATCGGAGCTCCTGCTCATCAGTTAGCTGGTACAAGATGGTCGTTTTGGGTGGTGTCACCGATGATCCCAGACATAAACTTGGTGACAGTGTTGATCATTCACGCCAACAACATCCAGCAGGATTACCGGATAAACCCAGTAATGTCAGTTATGACAATGGAAATGGGCACAACCCATTTGACCACATGCAGGATTCAGCCTCCGATCCATACAAGTACTACTACGATGCAGGATCCGAGTCCGGTTGGCAGTCCACCTCATCACCTTCCTCTTCCTCCACCCGACAAATGCTTGGAGATGGGCACAGAAATAATGGGTCGTCTTTCCGCTCGTCGTTAGCATCATCTCAGACTCAGAGACCATCATCATCTTCTTCTTCAAGTCGACGTTTCAGGGTGCCGTTTGTGAAGAAGATCGACTGGGGCTCTCTGTGGGACAAGTCCAAGGAATGGATTCGGAACCCCATGAACATGGCTCTGTTCGTCTGGATCCTCGCCGTGGGCGTCTCAGGCGCCATCCTCTTCATGGTGATGACGGGGATGCTCAACCGCGTGCTGCCAAACAAGCCGCAGCGAGACACGTGGTTCGAGGTGAACAACCAGATCCTGAACGCGCTCTTCACCCTCATGTGCCTCTACCAGCACCCGAGGAGATTCTACCACCTTGCCCTGCTGTGCCGGTGGAGAGCCGGCGACATGCATCAGCTCCGGCAAGTATACTGCAAGGACGGCACCTGCAAGCCCAACGAGAGGAAGCATATGATGGTTATCATCCTGCTGCTCCACTTGAACTGCTTCGCCCAGTATGCGCTTTGCGGCCTCAACCTTGGCTACCGACGGCCACAGCGTCCGGTGATCGGAGTGGCCCTCACGATATCGGTTGCCATCTGCGCGCCGGCCGTCGCTGGGCTGTACAACAACCTCAGCCCTCTTGGCAAAGACTACGAGGCACAAGTCCCACCGGAGGTAGACGAAGAGTCACAGCTCCAACAGAAAACGGCCGAGACTGAGAGGAGGTACTCATTGGTGCCACGACAAGGCCATGGCGAGTCCGCCGGCAGCTCGCCGCAGTGGGTCGGCGGGCTGTTCGAGGATATGTGGGACGACATGTCGCTGGCGTACCTGTCAATGTTCTGCAGCTGCTGCGTGTTCGGGTGGAACATGAGCAGGCTCGGCTTGGGCAACATGTACGTCCACATCGCCACCTTCGTGCTCTTGTGCCTGGCGCCCTTCTTCATCTTCGACCTGGCGGCCATCAGCGTGGACGATGAGGCAGTTAGAGACGCGCTGGGGCTGGCCGGCATCTTCCTCTGCGTGCTCGGCCTGCTCTACGGCGGCTTCTGGAGGATCCAGATGCGCAGGAGGTTTGGTCTCCCCGAGAACCGCGCCTGCTGCGGCAAGCCGGACCTCACCGACTGCATGCAGTGGCTCTGCTGCTACTCCTGCACCCTGGCTCAGGAAGTCCGCACCGCCGACGCCTACGAGGTGGTGCTGGTGGTGCAGGACACGCTGCAAGACAAGCAGCCGGTGCCGACGCATCACCGGCACCATCCAACTCCAACAGCTGCTGCTGTGAGGTCACTGGATGACGGCGTCACCGTGCCCCCTTCGTCAGTGTCAGCTACACGTACATAGGTAGCATAGCAGTAGCAACTTTTGGGACTTGGGAGTAGTTTCATTTCACCCGTGTAATGTAGGGATGTGACACACTAACTTTAATTTGGTTCTCTCAAGATCAGGTGTCATTTCAATGTATCCATACATCCCAATAATCCATGCAATCTATTGGAGCAAGCAATGCGAAATCGATGTTGTATCACGAAAGAAGTCATTCCTGTTCAACTACAAACTCAGACCTTGTTTGGTATGGCTCCCAGGTGCTCCAGCTCTTCCTGGAAAAACATTGTAGGAGCATTGTTGAGCACTATAGTGTGGAGCAGTTTATTTTCAACGAAAAAATTAACTTAGATGAGCCGATAGAGCCACGATTTCGAGCTCTACCGGCTTCGTGCTACAGTGCTGTAGTGCTGTTGCAGTAAGAAACAGGCCCAGAGCCGAAGCACGGGCCGTTTGTTTGGGCTCCTGCATGCTCGGCTCCGGCTCCTTCGTCCCTGTTATTTCCTGTGCAATCCTATAGCGACCAAGAAAAGGCTCCGGCTCCTGCGCAGCCCAGAGAAAAGCCAGAAGAGCTACCGAAGGGATGCTTCTCCTGGCTCAGCTACAGTTGCGCTACAGTAGCCGCGCCAAACACAGCCTAAAGGACGACCCCTCCATGTATATACAAGTTTTAGCTGCTCAACTACCAACTCAAAATCTACCTGCACCAAGCATCCTCTTATTCATAGCTAATGGATCAATCTGAGTACCACCGAGGTAATTGAATTATTCATTCAGTCCAAGGAAACTAACGACACATGCCTTCCTCCCCAGCATGCTGGTGCCTGCTAATCTCGTGCAGGCGCAACTTCCATTTATATATCCTCCGCTAATGTCTTCCCACTCTTGATGTTCACTGCTGGACTGGGCCGGGCTGGGTCAATACTACAAATCACTTGTATGCACTACCGACTACCGGAATCAGGCGATTTGTCGAGTGCCTAATGCACTCACTCGGCAAATGCTACTTTGCCCTCGGCAAAGCCTTTGCCGAGTGCAGCACTTTCGCAAAGCCTTCGCCTCCGGCAAAAAATTCATCGTAAAGTGCCTTCTTCGGGCACTCGAAAAAGTGGTAAAGTGCCACTTTACTTAAAGTTGGAACCGAAAAAAAACCCAAAAAATGGGAAAAAATGAATTTTTTTAATCGATGGAGGCCCCACCGACCAGCGCCTACCATGACGGGATTCACCCATGACGGGATTCGAACCCTCCTCTACAACTACACCCCCACCGCCACTTGTATCCGGATTCCTCCTAATTCCCACTATTATACTAAACCGATCACTGTTGTTTGTAAACGAATTCATTCCGCTTTAAACTAGTTTCATAACATATTATATCTAAACTTTTAGTATAAATTTTTCCATCCGAGGTCGTTTACAAAATTTGAATTTCAGGCTCTAAAATTCAAACGCATTCAAATAAAAAATTTCAAAACTACAAAGTTTCATAACTTTTCGAGATCTACACTTTTAGTTTAGGAAGTTTTTCCATCCGAGGTCGTTTGACAAAATTTGAATTTCAAAATTTTGAAAATTCAAATCAAAAAGTTGCCAACTTTTTCATAACTTTTCGAGATCTACAGAGTTTATTTTGGTTGTTTTTCCATCCGAGGTCGTTTGAAAAGTTGATTTCAAATCAAAAAACACGCCAACTGACAATGTTTTCAAATTAACTTGTCAATTATAAAGTTTCATAGATCTATACAAAGTTTATTTTGGTTGTTTTCATCTGCTCATCCATCCGATTCACAAATCTCGTTTGAAAAGTTCAAGAGAGATTTTAATTTTAAATTTTTAAAATTCAAACCACTTTACATATGCAAACATTGTACATCTTGATGAGTTATACAACTTTGTAGTTGAAAACTTTTTCATTTGACTTAATCGTGCTTTAAAATTTCCTTTGTCGAGTGTAAAAAAACACTCAAAGAAAGAGCTTCTTTGCCGAGGATCCGCAAAAAGTATATCATTGTCAAAGGCGTGCCGAGAACGCAAACCACTTGACACTCGGCAAAGAGCCGGTCTCCGGTAGTGATGGTTGTTTATTTATCCTAGGCGCCCGGGGAGAACAACAATACGAAAAAGAATGCCTCTCAACCGTTTTCTACTGCTTTTTGACACCTCGGGGGCTAATTAGAGATTTAGAATAAATGTCGAAGATTAATGGTGAAATCATGTTTTTCTATAGTAAATAGCGACGGGGTTGCGACGAATCCGGCCCACAGATATCATTGTGCCCTGGATCAAACCGCTGCGTATATCATTGTCTTTGTACATGCTAACGACAGCCGCTTGCGGATGAAAACGGTCGAAAAACCTCTCAACCGTTTTCTACTTTTACATTTGGATACGAAAGCGAAAGCGAAAGCGATAAAGACGGACACGAAAACGAACGCGAACTTATGGAATACCGAGAGTTTTGAAAACGAACCAAATCAAGTGGAATTACGTTGAACACGATCGGTATACGAAAAATCAATACGAAATACCGACCAGTATCATCAAGTTGTAACCCCTATGTTTTCCCTCATGCTAAAATTCACTAAAAATTGAAATTTTTAAATTTAACAACAATTTTAAACTTATTTTCTACAAAACTATTTTAAACCTTGCATTAAAATTCACCATATGCATTTTCATGTGTTGATATGCTTTCTCGAATTTATTTGGGACACCAAAAATATTTACCTTGAATCTCTAACCCAAATCTCTTCTTAGAATTTAAATCAAATCACTTCAAATCCTCGTCCTAGATTTTCTACAAATTACAAAAGTCGTCACAAAAATACAAAATCTATTTTGGGCTACTTTCTCATCCCTACACTCCCTCAATTCACGCTTGGCCAACAAACCACTTGCCCGATGGGCTGCTCAGCATGGCAGGCTGGTACCAGCACGCAGCGACCTCTCCCTCTTGCATGCAAGCTGCAAGCGCTCCTTTCTCAATTCATTTAGTACCACCTCGCTTAGATACACGGGGCAAGGGAGCCAATGGCCTATATAAAAACATCCAGGCGCACCCTCCCAGCCACGCATAGAGCTCCTTGCTGGGCCTATGTTGAGCCAAATTCGGTTAATTGTGAAAACGGTATATTTTGAATTCGAATTCAGGATATTTCGAATTAAAAAGTAGAAATCGGTTAAATATAGAATTCGGGATATTTTTGTATCGTTTTCATGTGAGGTAGCCCTTTGAGCCATCGACGTCATCCGCGGGTCGCTGGGGACGGCGTGTCAGAGCGGCATCATACCTTGCATAAGCTTTTAAAAAAGATGTCGTGCGTACATGAATAGATCGAGCACCTATATGTTCGATTTTTTCCCTTCCCCTCTTTGCAAATAAAACAAAATAAAATAAATGCCACCAAAAACATCTTGAGACGATAGAGCTGAAATTAAGTAGTAGGGTACAAAACCATGAGATATATTTGTGTTACAGTTCCATTGACAAGCGTGCAAATCTCAAGAGGGGCTGGCTAGCGCCCGAAAGTCCACGCCTACACCGTTTCCCGTGCAGTTTCACACGCCCATGTGGGGTTCGTGTCTCTTTGAACATCACCAGCATCGAGAAAGAGGGGTAGGGACGGCGGATGCCCAACTGGCGCCGGAAGGAGGAAGAGACAACGAGGTGGACAACAGAAAGCGAGAAAGGAGATGCAACACCCGATCTACTTTTGAAACATCCAGATGCAACAATTGCAACATACGTCTAAAGACAAATGAAAACTTAAAACATGCATCTGAAACACTCGCAAAAACACATGAAAATCACTTGAAAACCATCGTAAATCACACGCAACATGCAGATAAAACACTTACAATGTATGCGTGAAGCATATGCAACATCCGAATAAACACACTTGTAACATATGTCTGGAAAAAACACAGATGAAACATTAGAAACAGAAGCTTACAACATACGTGTACAACTATTGCAACATGCGCAACATTTCGATCTACTATTGCAATATCCGCATGAAGCACCTGCTACATACCTCTAAAACACTTGAAACATACGCTTGCAACATGGGCTTTGAGCGCAATATTTCCTTGCTGTTTTGGAATAGAAGCTCGTCGGCACGTGGAGTTCACCGGTGTAGAGCTCGCCGATGGCGTGGAGATCGCCGCTCCGGTGGAGAGGAAGGCCGCGACGGATTAGCAGTTCCACGCGATAGCCACCCTCGCCTCCCTCCCGCGCGGCGCAGCGGGTCTCTGTCGCTGTGTCCGTCTCCCACGCTTCGCATGCCCTGCTCGCGCGCGGGCCTCTGGAGCTACCGTTTCCTCCCATGCGCGTGGGCCTCGGAACTGTTATCGCCTTGCTTGCACGCTGGCAGCCGGCAGCCGGACGCGGGAAGCGCAGTGGTCGTCGGAGATGCGGGCCGTAAGCCGGTAGCCAGACGCTAGAAGCTCAGTGGTTGCCTGAGGGCAGCCGCTAGATCTATCCCTGTCATCACGGCGCTGGGGAATGGAGATGCGCTGTCGTGCGCAAGGTGGATGTCGTTGCCTCTGCGGCTGCATCGCTGACCCCACACCATTGCCACCGAATCTTCGATTTGCCACAGTTGCTGCTCCAGTGAGCTGGGTTAGCATCTCGCCTACCTCCTTTTTTAGCAGAATCTCGCCCACCTCTTGGCTCATTGAATAATGGATGAGGCTATCTCGCTCGAATGGATAAGGCCACATCGGCCACCGATTCAGCCTGCTTTTTAGAGGCGGTAGTTGGGATGGCGCGAGTGGCCCACCATCGGGAGCGTCCCGCGCGGACGGACGCCCTATACCAAGAATTACCAATCTCAAAATTGTCTGAAGGTCTCATCTAGTAGACCCTCAAAGTCCCCTTTATAAGTTGTAAAAAGGTCTAAATGGTCATTTACCCGACCCTCTATCATGCGTGGCACATCGATTCAGCGCTTACGTGGATTTCACATATGACACATACATGCCAAGGGCAAGGTTTCGCCTTAGAAAAATCATATC